AGCAGGATTTGAATTCAGGTCCTTTGACTCCAGAATCAGCCTTCTTTCCGCTGAATGATCACTTCATCCTTCTCTAACACTTCACGGAAACATGAAGGAGATTCTGGGTTCTCAGGTACTGGATTGCCAAGATTCAGGCTCTCCGGCAGGTCCTGCTGGGTTGGAGGGGGTTTGAGTACAGTCCTGGAACCTTCCAAGGGCTGCCACCTGTGGCCCAGTCTGGCCAGCGTGGCTCCTTTAGACAGTACCAGGGGCTTTAATTAGTGTCTACTATCACCATGCTTTTGGCCTTGGGATGGTGGGACTCATCTACTTTTTGGCCATTAAAAAAATAAAAAGGATAAGCTGCAGAATAGAGCAGTTTGTTATTGGGCACCAGTAAGTTGTTTACTCAGTTATCCCCCATGATAAGCACATAGCCCACCCCACGTCGTCTGTCTGACATCATTAGCATTTTCTGGGCACTAATTGCCCTCTGCCAGCGGTTCTCTACCTTTTTTGTGCCAAGGACCCCTCTGGCCATCTGGTAAAGCCCATGGACCCTTTCTCTGAATCATGTTTCTAATAATTGAAGGAAACTGCTAAACTGCAGCCAGGGGTTAGTGAAAATAGAGATGTAATTGTTTGCCCATCCAAGCTCACTGACCCACACACAGATCCTGAGATAAGAACCCCTGCCTTACGCTTTCAACATGGACCTAGTGTATTTAAATGTATATTTATTTGGGGGGGGGGGCGAGGGAATGAGATGAGATGGAGATGAGCTAGTATTTGATAGGGCACCACGGGAGGTTATTGAGGAGCAGGGTGACTCGGTCAGATCTGAATTAGCAGCTGAGTGGCCAGATTGAGGCAGGCGGCCCCACCCGCAGGCCAAGGCCTGGAGTGAGGTGATGGAGGCCTGGACCACAGTAATGGCAATATCGCAGAGAGAGGCGTGGATGACAGCGGTTACTACGGTTAAATCAGCAGGCCTTAGCAACAGCTTGGAAAAGGGGGCTTGGAGAGAGGGAGAGAGGGAGAGAGAGAGAGAGGAGGAGAGGGAGGGAGAGAGGGAGGAGGAGGACAGGACGGCGCGGACAGACCGGGCCCTCGACGGGGAGGGGAGGGAGGGAGAATGCGCCCCCACCCCCCTCATTTGGGGCAGCACAGATTAAGTGAAAGGGGGTGGGGTGGAGGAAGGGACTATTGTACTCACCAGCTAGTTTGGGAGAGGTAATGGGGGGGGGCGAGAAGGTGGCTTCTGGAAAAGCCCCCAGGTGCTGGGGAGGGGCGCGCGCTAGAGGCCCCTGAGGAGAGGGGAGTGGAGGCCTTCGGTGGGAGGGGGCCGCAGGTGAGAGTGCTGTGGGGGAGGGGACGAAGGCCGGAGGGCTGGTCTGGAGGTCGGGGGAAATACAACCCAGCTTGCTGCGCTCTGATTGGCTGACCTCACACTTTGTGGGGCCAACTTGCCAATGACCTTTTGCAGACCGCTAATCGGTGCACAGGAGAGCGTGCCCCATTAGGTGTCCCAAACGGGCGACCTTAGGCAAGTCCCTTCATACCCTCTCTGGGCCTCAGTTTCCTTGCAAATGTTTTTTGGGGATGTTTTCAGGAGGATGATAGTACTGTCTTCTACCTTAGCCAGCTGATTTGGTGCCGTGATAAAAAGCCCTGGCCTTAGAGACTGACCGAGAACCGAGCTCTTCGGCTGCCCAATTGTGTGCCCTCTTTGAACCTCAGTCTCCTCCTCTATAAAATGTGGATAAGCATTTCTGCCACAGAGCATGTTAGGCATCACAGGCAAGAGGATGTATGTAAAATGTAACTCTAGAGTGTTATACAAATGTAAGGGATACAATCAACAGGTATCTCTTAAGCTTCTGTCAGGTACCAGGCTCTATGCTAAGTACTGGGCATATAAATATAAACAATAAACCCTCCACTGTCAAGGAGCCTACTTTCTAACAGGGAGGCAAGTACATAGTATGTTTAAATATCTAAAGAATCAATATAAGAAAATACATACCAAGGAATTAGGAGGGAGAACTGTAACAGTTGGGGGGATCAGGAAAGGCTTTCTGTATAAGGTAGTGTCCTAAAGGAAGAGAAGGATTGTCTGAGTCTGAGGTGAAGAAGGGAGTAGCTCCAGGCAGGAGGGACTGTCAGTGCAAATGGTCAGAGTTAGGAGATGGAGCAGCCCAGCAACGGACAAGTGAGGCTTCCAAATCAGGATGAGGCCACACTGTCTCAAAGGGATATTGCTACCAGGCAAAGGTTGGCAGTGTCCTACCGGCTCCTCTGGTGTGTATGTGAGGGGCATGGGGTAGAGGGAGAGGGGGTGAGACCACAGTTGTGCACCCAGGTCCCTCCTGACAGCAAAAGGGAACTCTCCCTGAAGATAAAACTGCCTGTAGTTTAAAGGGTCAGTCCTAGGGAGCTGCCTGGTGCCCAGGGTTTTGTAGCTACTAAATCAGAGGTGAGTTTTGAACTCTGGGTTCTCCTGACTAAGCCACCCATACTAGCCACCATTCCAGGCCTCTTTAGTATTGTTCAAAAATAAGAAAATGCTTGGGGTATACTTCACTCTCATTATCATCCATTTGTTTCCAATGTTTCAACGGAGGCCCTCAAAAATGGTGCTTTGCAGTAGGAAAAGCCCTGGATTTGGAGTTAGAGGAATTTAGGTTCAAATTCAGCCTCTGACATTTATTATCTGTGTGGCCAGGGGCAGCATCATTTCCTGCCTCAGTTTCCTGCTCCGGAATATAAAGCAGGTTGGACCGGATCACCTCTGAGGTGCCTTCCAGCTGTGATACAATGTCACAATAATAGCAACTGACATTCCCAGGATGCTTTACACACCTCCTCTCTTTGAAGTTTCACAACAACTCTCTGACATAGATATTACAGGGATTATTAGCCCCATTTTCCAGATGAAGAAACCAGGACTCAAAAAAATGAAATGACTTGTCTTGCCCAGGGGCACATGACTAGCAAATGTGAGAGGTGGATTTGAACCAGGGTCTTCTGATTCCCAAGCCAGCTCATGGTTTGCTTTCATCTTTTTTTTTTTCCCCACTACATACCACCCTGCCTCATTCTCTAAGTCTTTGCTCCATTGCAGAACTCACCCTAAACAACAAGTGGACCCTCAGCATAAGAGTCCAGGCTGAATACTACCTGTTCCCTGGGCTTTGCCAGCTCTGTTGCCTCAGAGAGGCCCAGCCGGGTGTGGGAGCAGTGACAGCCCAGCTCAGCCATCCCAGGCTATTTCTTCTGTCCCACATAGCTGTGTGCAGGGCCAAGAGTGAGCACTCACTTGGCCTTCTTCTGCCTGGCTCTGGGTATTCCTTGGTGCCTTGCCAACCCCTGCTGGAGCTTGTTTTTTTCCTCCCACTCTGCAGCTTGTCTTTCATATGGAGCCCACAGCTCAGCCCAGGAACAGGTGACTGGGCCTCATCCTGGGCCCAAGTGGGAAGCATATGGCATTCTCCTGAGGAAACCTGCAATCCTCTTTCCAGTAACATTTTTTCCCATTCAGTACCAGCTCAGTATCACACGGCCAGCAGGAGAGATGGCATCTGCTCTGACCAGCCAGATATTTCTACCTAGCCCTGCTCAGAACCCCTGCCTGCCAGGCAAGTCCTAGCCTCCACTTTCCAAGAGGCATTCCCAGCTAACTTAGTCTAGGGTTCCAGTCCCTTCAGTAGATAATGGTCTGGTTTCCATGCAAACTGAATGCTAAAGTATTTCTTCATCCCCTGATCCTAACATCATCCAATAGAGATCAAAGCTTAAGAGCTGAAAGAGCCTTCAGAGTGCTTTAGTCCAATCGCCTCATTTACAGATGAGAATCCTGAGCCTCCGAGAGGTTAAAGGACTTGTCAAGGGACACACAGCAGCAGGGTCAGGATCGCAATCCTGCTTCAGTGCTCTCCCCACTGCCTCCTCCCCTCAGCCAAGGCATTGCCTTCAAATGTTTGCAGTTGCTTAGGACCTTGAGCCCAGTCCTGGGAGGCTACGTTAGCAAAGCACTTGGGCAAAATGACCCTGGGAAACCATCAGAAGCCTGCTTCTCTGAATGAGCAGAAGTACAATCATGAGGAAACGTCCAAACCAGAATATTGCTTTCCCCTCTGAATTTAAAGCTGTCCCATATAGAGTAGAGATCTAGGGGCAGCTGAGTGGTGCAGTGGATAGAGCACTGACCCTGGAGTCAGGAGGACCTGAGTTCAAATCTGGCCTCAGACCAGATACTTGACACTTATTAGCTATGTGACCCTGGGTAAGTCACTTAAGCCTAATTGCCTCCAAAAAAAAGAATAGAGATCCAGACTTGGGGGACCTTCAGGGCTACCACAGCTGACCTTCTCATTTGAAAGATCAGAAGATCATAGATTTCATCCTGGAAGGGAGCACAGAGGCCATCTAGTTCATGCCAACCTCCTCATTTTACTGATGAGGAAACTGAGGCTCTGACTGGTTAAATGATTTTCCCAAGATCACCTAGGTAATAAGTAACAGAAGTGGCATCTGAACCCAGGTCATCCACCTCTAAAACCAATTCTCTTTCCACTGTACCACACTGCTCCCCCAAATGCCACTCTGCCCCTCTCCCACTTAGATCTGAGCCTTCCAGGAAAGACATTGTCTCCTATGGCCATTTCCTCCCTCATGCCTCCCCCACCACCCCTCTTAGGATCACATTTTCCCAGTCAAAACACCAAAAATCAGCTCCAGCAATCCAAGCCTCTTCTTTACCCCAGGTTGGCAATTGCTCCCCTCGTGCCTGGCTCCAGTCCTAGCACCTGATGTGTCCAGGTAAGTGGCCACCAAGAGAATTCTCTTCCCTGGGCCACTAGCATTCCTCACCATCAGAGTGACTGGCAGCCAGCACAGCCATAGCATAGAGGGCTTCATCCCTGCAGACGCATCTGAATTTAATCAGCTCTGAAAGCTATGAAAACTGCCACTCCATCTGATAGCCAAGAATTCCTAAGGAACAAAGAATGGTCCCAGGGGGCAAATACCCCAGAGTTAACACCTTGTGCTTCTAATTCTATGTTGTGGTCACATGCACAAATATAGCACATGAGAGCAAAGTATCCAGCTAGCAACATTGGACCATATGTGTGTATACATACATATTCTACTTACATATTCGATTTGGAATAAACTTAATAGATGTAAATATCAGCCTCTTTCTGTTTCGGCTTGGGCTCCAAGGAGTCTTTAATCTGTGATAATGTCTTGAAAAAAGAACCCAGTTCTCCCTCCAAACCAGCCTGAGAGGGAAGCACCAATGAGACAGTGCATTGTGGTTTCAGAGTTAACTTGCACACATTCCAGATTGTATTTCTATACCCTTTAAAGTGACAGTGCACAGACATTACACTTAGGCAAAGTTTGATTTGGGTTCTGGGCAAGGGGGGGAATTAAATGATGAATCTTAAAATAGTCCATTTTGATCAGAAACCTTTAAGATTAAATTCCTTGAAGGCAGCCAGTCACAGGAACCAGAATGTTTTGACAGTAATAAAAAAAATTCTTAAGAGACAGCTCGGTGTAGAGAATATATGGGTAGTATCAGAGGTATGGTAACCTGGGTTCAAGCCCTGTCTCTGACACTAGCAGTGTGACCCTGAGCAAATTGCTTCAACTCTCAATGCCAAAGGCATTACAGTCCAAGACTATAAGCTACAGAGGAGTCATTGATCTGCGTCAATGAAGAGAGTTTTCACTCCTGGGAGTTCCTGAAACTGATGAAATCCCAGACCTGGAGCAAAACAAAATAAAAATTTTAGTGGGGCCTATGAAAAGCAGCAGCCATGGAAGCAACAAAAAGAGTAAGCAGAGCTTAGAGCGATTGTCGATTTTTTTTTTAAGACAGAACCAGGGGCAGCTAGGTGGCATAGTGGATAGAGCACCGGCCCTGAAGTCAGGAGGACCTGAGTTCAAATGTGACCTCAGACGAAACACTTGACAAGTACTAGCTGTGTGACCTTGGGCAAGTCACTTAACACCAATTGCCTTAAAAAAAAAAAAAAGACAGACCCAAACCACAGACAAGAAATGTCTTTGGAAATAGCTGTGAAAATTCTTCCTCGGCCCAGTGAAAGAGCATGGGTCCAGGCCAAGGGAGTCCCAATCCATCTAAGTGAGATGAGAAAAGGGTTGGGGGATTATCCACCCCCCCCAGGCATTGCTGCAAATCTCCAATAAGCCATGCATTATTGCCCCAAATCATCTGTTCCATTCCCTTGCTGGAGTTGCAGCTACATGCTCAGCAGCTGGGTTTGCATGGAATCTTGCACCCTGGCCTGGATCCACTTTCATACTCATGGCAGAGCTGCAGAGATCAGGGAATCCGGTCTGCTCCAGCAAGGTTTAGAAGTTAGGGCAATAGGCAGAAACCTGGACAACAGTAACCCCTCAGTCCTGAGTTTGTCATTCACTAGCTATGGAATCTTGAGCCAAATCACTTCCATCTCTGTTTCCTCATCTGTAAAGAGTGTGTTGGAATCACTGCTCATTAAGGCCCCTTCAGGCGCTCTTGTACTCCCCACCAGCCATCATGGGATCTCAGCTTTAGAGCAGCAGGTGGCCTTAAATGGCAGCTAGTGCAGCACGCTCATTTCCTAGAGAGGCGTGAAATGACTTGCCCTGCATCATGTAGGGAGGAAGGGGCAGAACCGAGATTTGAACCCACATCCTGGGACACCAATTCCACTCTTTACACTTTGTCACTCCACAGGCCTCCCAGGCCGGGCTCATTCCAGATTGTACTTGAGGATGCAGCAGAAAGCCTCTTCAGCATCAGTCTTCATCGCTGCTCTTTGCATTTCCTATCTATTTCCTCAAACCTGAGCTCTAGCTATATGACCCCTGATGACCTCAAACTTTTTTTCTGCATCCCCCCAGTAGCCTGTGTTCCTGCTACCTGCCTCAATTGATCTTCTTGAACTTGGCCTTGAGACTTCCCAAGTTGGTCTCCGCAGGTAGCTAGCTGGGCAAAGTGGATGGTGTGAGGCCTAGAATCAAGAAGATTCATCTTCCTGTATTCAAATCTGGCCTCATTTACTAGCTGGGTGACCTTGGGCAGGTCACTTAACCCTGTTGGTCTCAATTTCCTCATCTGTAAAATGAGCTAGAGATGGAAATGGCAAACCACTCCAAGATCTCTGCCAAAACAAACAAACAAACAAATCTAAATGGGGACACAGAGAGTTGGACACAACTGAAAAATGGTTGAACAACCACAAACTTGGTACCTGACAGCCCCTTCCTTTCCAACTCCCAGTACATACACACACACATACACACACATACACACACACATACACACACACATACACACACACACACCCCAGCCAAGTCTCAGCATAATAACCCTATCAGTGTCCCACTGCTTCGCATGGGCTGCTCCCTTCAGGACGGAATCAGGAAAAAGCACAGCACAGGACAAGCCGCCCACTGACTGATGAAGGGACTCATGGGAGCCTAGGTCTAGGCCCAGAAGGGACCTCAGAGGCCATTTGGTCCAACTTCCTTGATTTACAGATGAGGAAACTGAGGCTCTGAGAAGTTCAGTGACTTGCCTAAGGTAACACAGGCAGTAAAGTAGGTGTGGACACAGTCCTCTGCTGCAGAGCCCACATACTCCTGTCCCTCATATCTCTCACTATCCCTATCCTTGGTCTCCTTCCCAGTACCCAGGAGCCCCACAGCATCTTCCTAAAGCCTTGCAAGTAGTCCCTTGGCATCAGTGAGCAACAGCATGAAGCAGACTAGGAAAGCAAGCAAGCCGTTACTGCCCGGTAAGTTCCTGGGGGCCTGGGCTCAGCCTACCTAAAGGCACAGGGAGCCTGGCCCAGAAAGTCTCCTGCTTGGCCACTCAGTGCAGCGCCTTGGGCACACAAGCCAGGCATGCGCAACAGGTGCAGAGGCCCGCCACAGCGGACAGCGCTGCCGACAGCCGTGATTGGCGCTTGTACTTGATGGCCCTCTTGACTATCGCAGCCGATTGGGCCACGTAGTCCTGGGTATGCAAGACGTTGTACTTTATGTTGTCCAGGAGCTCCTGCTGCTCGGAGATGAGTAGCTGCAGCTGGAGGAAAAGGGCCTGCAGCTCCCCCAGCTGGCCCTCCAGGTCCACCAGCTGCTGGTGGCTCATATGGGCCATGACCAGGTGCTGCTTGGCCCTCAGCATATCTAAGTCCCAGCCCACAATACCGGGTAATGATCGGCTGCCCACCAGCTGTTCAATTTCTTCCTCGCGTAGCTCCAGGCCTGCCAGCTCAGCCTGTCTCACCGTTTTCTCCTTCAGCATCCTCACACCCTGACTCTCCTTGGCATAGTGGCGGCTGATGGTGTCTTGGTAGCGGCCAATCAGCACCGCAAGCTAGCTCTGCCGAATGCAGTGCTCCACTCTCCAGTCCTGAAGTTCAGGAGCCAGTTCTCGCTGGATGGCACTGAGCTGGGGCTGGACACACCGGGCCAAGCTGGCAAAAGAGCCTTTCAGCAGGCTTAGCTCGTGCTTGGCCCCCAGTGTGCTCTCCTCTGTAGTACAGCACAGTACCCCCTGCCGCTTCCTGTCTATCGACTCCGACAGTCCTTCCAGCTCATTCAGTGCCAAGGAAAGCCTGGCCACTTCCTGGAAAAACTTCTCCATGGGATTGGCCTCATGATCCTTGAAAGCAAGGTTGTCAAAGTCTGAATATAATCCAGCTCACAGGGGTCCCCTCCTTGGCTAACTTGGCTCTGTAACTCCTTCAGTCTGTCCTTCATCTTGGCCTCCAGCTGCTGGCCACATCTGGGGCGGCAGACAGCAAGACACACATATCAGCTTTGTTCAGCAGCATGGGGAGGCAGGGACAGCAAGGACTTGTGCGTCAGGGGAAGCTATTAAAAAAAGTCTTTCCTCCCCAGGCAAGCAAATATTGACAAAGACAACAGGCCCCGCGATGTTGATTTAGGGTCATGTGGCTGAAGAAGACAGGCTGAGCTGGAGTGTCTGCCAGAAACAGGCATCCAGGCCTGACTTGGCAAGGACAGTTAGGACATTCGCCCAGGCTCCAGAATGCAAGGGAGAAAGGGGGTAAAGAATAGGGCTGGGGTCCTGGTCTGAATCACCTCCTCTCCCATGGCATCCTGCCCAAGGTTCAAAAGAGAACGTGTGTACAGGCAATGGGGAGAAGATGACAGGACTGAGAGCGGGGTCCTGAGAAAAAGAGGGTTCCCGTGGTCTGTCTGTCATTGCCTCAGGTCCAGGAATCAAGGAAGTCCCGTGGTTTGGCCAGCATGGGGTGTCAACCCAAAACACTGTCTGAAAGGAATGTTCTTTCCCAAGATTGCCGAGCCAAGCAAGTCCAACATAAGCAGATCTATGTACTTGGAAAAATTTGGCTTCACCTCCTCCCTTTCCTTCACCTCCCCCCTTTCCTTCACCTCCCCCCTTTCCTTCACCTCCCCTTCAGGATCTGATGTATCCTGACACATACTGATACATACATTACTGGGCCTCAGTCTCTATATCTATAAAATCAGGATAATAATGCCAACCCTTACAAGGTTGGGGCGGGGGGAGCCAATGCAATGGTAGGCTGCAAAACTGTTTACAAAGCTTGAAGCCCAGCTATTATTATTCTGTTACATCTGGGCTTTCTAACAAGTGAATCCAAACAGAGCATCTGTGTTCATGGGATACACTGTTGCTCTGGACCCTAGAACATACATTATTAGCACTAGAAGAAACCTCAGAACCTAAACATTTCATTTAACAGATTCAGAAAGTGAGGACTAGAGAAGGGAAGTGGTCACATGTTTGCCTTTTTCTCAGGGGTCTACTAAAGATACACTGACAACTCTGAAGCCTTGTAAGAAGTATGGGCATGGCAAGTGCCGTGCCAGGGCAGTAAAGGAGAATGATTCCTTGGTGAGAAGGGTAGAGCTGAGGCCTGGGAATGCAAACTCAACCAACTGGTTGATGAGCAGATTTTTTTAAGTATTATAAGAACCTAGAAGTAGAAATAATGAATCTCTGTCAATATCTAGCCCTCCCCAATCATCATCTCCTGTGACTCGACTCCCCTGTATTCCTCGCTCCATCCCATCCTTTAGTATCTTCTCTGGGTTTTATCGACCTCCTTTGACAATGGCCCTCATTCTGAAAGAAGTCCAGAATGGGCAGTTCATTTAATCATCCCAGTGCTGGTATTTTCTCTGCTCAGAATCAAGCGTGCCAATACCTGATAGCCCAGCATCATAGAAAGTCAAGTGTGGATAAAATCATAGAGATCATCATTTCACAGCTAAGGAAAGGAAAACTCAGAGAGACAGCAAGCTTGAGTTGAAGACAGTTGAGTTGAAGTGAGAACCCAGCTTCCTGATTTCCTGTTCCCTGCCTTCTCCATTAGATCACAATGGAGATGAGGTAATGGGCCCTTTTGGAATGGACTAAAGGGAAAGGATTTGGCTTCTTTCCTTTCCCTGTAGCTCCCAGGTTGAGACTCATCTCTGTGATATCAGCAGGATGGAGGCATGCCCAGAAGAGAAGTAAGCTGGGCACCTACCCTAGATCTGATCTGATGGCAATGTCTTCTACCATTGGAGGTACGTGCATGTCTCTGTGTTAGATGCTGCCCACTGTCCTCTTTAGCCTCAACTAAGACTCTTCTACTTGGTACCTATGTAATTCAATCCAATTCAGCAAACACTTATGAAGTACCTACCGTGTGCAAGGCCACATGGTAGGAAATTCAAGGAGATTAAACCTCCAAGGAGTTTCCATTCTACCTAAAATATACGATATGCACAAAGGTAAGTAAAAATCAGGCAATATTAAGAGGGGAAAAACACAATAAACTGAGAGGATCTGGGAAGGCTTCAAGGCGGAGGCATCTGAACTGAGCACTGAAGTAGGGTGTAGTGGATAGAACGGGAGTTCAGAAGACTTGAGTTCAAATCTGACCTCTAACACCATCTACCTGCGAGACGGTGGTCAGCTCAATTTGCCCATCTGTGCAACAAGGTGGTTGTACTGCATGGCCTCTGACCTCCATCTTGTAATCTGTGATCCTATAATTTTAAGAGGTAAAGGTCCAGAAGAAGTCAGTTTCAGGTGTGACACCTTTTTAACTTAATTAATTCATTTGGTCTCAGTGATACTGCCTCCTTCCTTAGGCATGCAAAAAGACAGCTGGGGCATAGGTTAAAGTTGAGGCAAGGGGACTCAAGGTGGGACATCTAAGATAGCACTAGGTGGCGCTTTGCCCTAGTTCCCACCTTATCTGAATACTTAATATACTCTCTGTCTCCAAGGAAGGGGACTTCCAAATTTCCTCCCTTATCTAATAAGGAGGTCCCTTGCATCTCTATATCTGGGATCCTATGATCCCTCCCTTAAGATGAAGATCCCTCCTCTCTATCTCTGTCTTTCTGTCTTTCTGTCTGTCTGTCTGTCTGTCTGTCTGGCTGTCTCTCTCTCTCTCTCTCTCTCTCTCTCTCTCTCTCTCTCTCTCTCGGACACTGAGATTTAAGCAGATGTCCTCAGTCTTCTGAGCAGCTAGGTGGTGCTACAGCTGCAGTGGATAGAGCACTGGGCCTGGAGTCAGGAAGACCCAAGTTCAAATCTGGCCTCAGACACTTACTAGCTGTGTGACCCTGGGCAAGTCACTTCACCCTATTTGCCTCCATTTCCCCATCTGTAAAATGAGCTGAAGAAGAAAATGGCAAACCACTCTAGTAACTTGGCCAAGAAAATCCCAAAATGGGGTCACAGAGTTGGACACGACTGAAAAACAACTGAACAACAACTTCAGTCTTCTAAACAGCTGCCAGTAGACGTGTCTACACCACCAGCCCCAACTCCCAAACACCACCCTGTAGTTCATCAGGTTGATCAACCCCCTGCACAAGTCTCTGTTATCTCTAGGACTAAAATACCAACTCTCTCAAACAAGAAGGTAATCCTCTCATTTTACAGTTGAGGAAACTGAGGACCAAAGAGGTTAAGTGACTTAGCCAAGTTCACACAGGTAGTGAGTCTCACAGCAAGGATTTGAACCCAGATCTTCTCATACCAAATGCAACACTTATACCACTGTACCATACTGCCTATAAAGAAGGAACATCAAATTTGTATTCGAGATAATCGTTGCTTCAATTATCTTCAGTTATCAGCCCTCACTCCCTGGATTAATTCTTCTTTTCAATTCCTGAGTTGGAGAATTCCTACACACTCCCATGACTTACAGAGTAGGGAAGGGGAAAGTTCAATCTGGACAACATTCCTCAAGTAAGATGGAGAAGTGAAGGCTCTGGGGCTAGGCAGGATTCATCATAATTGTTTTCAGTTTCCAGTAAGCTCTGGACATCAGCTGATCATGGCCCACTTTGCAGCTGGGCTTGGACCTACATAGTACCACCAAGCCCACTGGTATCTCCTTCTGCAATGCACTCTGCCTAGGAGTCGAGTCTCCCAAAGGCCATAAAAGATAGCCAATCTCCTTTTGCATTGTCCTCAGATAAGGTCACCTCTCTCCCTAGCACCCCCCCTCCAACACACACACACACACACACATACACACACACACAGGGCAATCCTTTATGATAGAAATAGCAAGTATTAAGATAGAATCAAACTCCCAGTGTTCTTCCCCTGATCATCCAGGCACTTGGGAGATTCAGAAAAGCAAAAGCCATTTCCCCCTCCCCCGCCACCACCCAGCTTAGACAGGCATGGAAGACAAGTTATGTGAAGGCACAGAAGTGGAAGACAGAAAGAAGCCTCAGCTTTCTCATATGTAAAATGGGGGCACTAAGCCCTTGCCCTGCTGCTGAAAGGATCTAATGAGATAATGGATGGGAAAGAGAGTGCTGTCACTCTTAGGACTGGCACTGGTGATACACAAGGGTAGACTTCTTAGGAGTTTGAAAGACACTTTAATGGATTTTTTTCTGCTTGACTAACAGCACTAGATCCCAGGTAAAGGTTAACTGAAACGCTTGACTCATGTCACATTGTGCGAAAAGAGATGAAGCAAGATTCAGATAAAAATGTGGGCTGAAGAATGCCACATTTCAGCACAATACGCATTTGATATTGAAAAGATGGGTCAGAAAAAAAAATTATTTGTCTCACTGACAGAGAGAAGAGAGAGAGAGAGAGAGAGAGAGAGAGAGAGAGAGAGAGAGAGAGTTAGTTAGTTAGTTAGTTAGTTAGTTAGTTAGTTGCTAGGGTGATAAAAGGTAATTTGGCTGGATAATTATCCCAGAGAGATTCCCCTTTTCAGGGCTTAAGGCCAAGATCCCAGGAGACCTCCAGCCCTTCCAGGAAACTGGACAAGCCTGACAGGGAGGACCTAGAGATCATACCCATCTTGGCCCTGGCAGAGCTCCATCTACCCTAAAAACATAGCACTGACACTAGGAAGAAGCAGGGATTTGTTGAAAGAGCACTAAATTGGGAATCAGAGGGTTGGAGTTCAAAGGTTGCCTCCGCTATTTTTTTCTTGTTGTGTGACATTGGACAACTCTCTGTTTCCCTATCTGTAAAATGAGAGGGTTGGCTTAGATGACCTTTAAGGTCCCTTTCAACTCTAATGACCTGTGTTGTAAGGTTTTCTTGGCTTTAACATTCCATATTTTGAAGTCCCTAATATTCTCTTTTTTATGAGTTTATGAATCAATGGTGAGCTGATTAGTGATTAGAAATGTTAATGGGGCCCAAATGGGATTTTACAAATGCTCTTCTAAGAAAAAAAATCAAACTGTCATTGCTTGTTATCAACTAAATCTCTTCCAGGCTCAACCATTCATTTCATAAAGTGTC